GTTTGCTTCTAGAGTGATATTTTGGATTTTCACTAAGAACAATTATACTTTGATTGTGTGAGTATATGATGGTTGGTGCATGTTGAGGGAATCTAAGTTCATGTAATAATTTTCTCAACCATATGGCTTCAGTGGTTGCTTTTGTTAAAGCCATGTATTCAGATTCTGTGGATGACAAAGCAACAGATTGTTGTTTCTTGTTCCTTCAAGAGATAACTCCTCTAGCTAGTAAGAAGCAAAAGCCAGAGGTGGAGCGATGGGTGTCCTTATCACCTGTCCAATAAGCATGAGAATAACCATGGAGAATATCACCTTGAGGTAGGTGTTGATATTTTATTCCAAAGAATAATATGCCTTTTATATATCTCATAGTTCTTTTCAAAGTTTGAATATATGTAGGTCCTGGTTTAGAGAGATATTGTGCTAAAATGCTGATAGCATAAGCATAATCGAGTCTAGAATTAACAATAGCATACATTACATTGCCAAGAACTTGAGAATAGAGATAATTAGATAAAGTAATATGATCTTCATTGCTTAAACAAATTCTTGACTGAATTGAGGTACTTAATGGATTGAAATTCAACATATTGAATTCATTAAGTTTATTTGTTAAGTATTTGGCTTGTTGGAGGATGATCCATCCTTCTTTTCGATTTCTTAATATGGCATTGCCTAAAGTATAATAGATTTCTCCTTCATCAAACATATCAAATTCTTGCTAGAGAATGTCTTTGACTTTTTGAATTAAAGGAAGCTTGTTGCTGATAAGAATATAGTCATCAACATAGACTATAATTATGGTAAAATCTTGATTATGTTCTCTTTTGATGTATATGTTTGCATCTGATTTGAGACGTTGGTATTTGTGAAGGATTAAGTATTGATCTAATCATTGATACCATGCCTTAGATGATTGTTTAAGACCATATAGGGATTTATTTAATTTACATACCTTATTAGTATATATAGAAGGTAATCCTTCAGGAATAATCATATAGATGTCTTCTTCTATAAAACCATTTAAAAAGATTGTTTTAACATCTAGTTGATGTATTTCCAAATTATGTTTAGTGGTTAAAGCAAGAACTTTGATAGAGTTAAGTTTGACTATAGGAGAGTATGTCTTTGTGTAATCAATAACTTGGGTAAAACCTCTAGTAACTAGCCTTGCTTTATATTTGTCAACACTTCCATCAGCTTTAGTTTTGATTTTAAAAATCCACTTTGAACTGATTGATTTTTGATTAGGAGGTAAATTTGTCATATGCCATGTATTATTTTTGTTTAAGGATGTAATTTCAGCATTGATTGCTTGTTGCCATTTTTGAGCATCAACCCTCTCCATTGCTTCTTAAATAGAGTTTGAAGCTTCTATGTGAGTAGAAACAAGGTGGGCTTGGTGATGTTGATTACATTGTCATTTATATTCTTTTCTACCTTGTATAAACTCCAACAATCTTGTGGTTGGTTGAATAATTCTTGTTGGTCTAGAACTAGTAGGAAGATTTGGAGCCTTCAATGTAGAATGTACTTCATCATTTGTAAGACGTAAGATCTCTTAATCATTTGGTAATGATAGTTGAGAAAAGTCTTCTATGACATCAATGTGAAAAGGAGGTTGTTCTCCCACATTTGAAGGAATAATATGTATTGGTGATTGATCTAATACATGTGTTTCTTGTGGTAGTGACATTGATGTAGAAGACATGCCTTAAAGAGAAGGGAGGATTTACTCATTGATTCTTTTAGTTATTGAAGGGTGTTTTAATAATTCTAAATCTAGTAAGAGTTCTTCATTGTGCTTTTGCAAGTATGTGATTGTTTTTGAATCATGTAGATTTTCATTGAAGAGAATATCTCTTGAAATAAGAATTTGCTGACTTTGTATATTTATAAGTCTATAGGCTTTAGATTCTTCACTATAGCCTAGAAAGATAGCCTCTTGTGAATGAGAGTCTAACTTCTTTCTTGTTTCTTTAGAAATGAATACATGAGCTTTGCAACCAAATATTTTAAGGTAGGATAAATTTGGTTGTCGTTTGTACCATAATTCAAATGGTGTTTTGGTAACTTGTACAGATTTTGTAGGGCTCCTATTTTGGAGGTAATTTGCTATTTGGAGTGCTTGATCCCAAAAATTTTAGGTAAGTTTGAATAGGATAGCATTCCAAGTACTGATCCTATTAATGTTCTATTTTTTCTTTCAGAAACACCATTTTGTTGTGGTATATAAGCTGCAATATATTTTTATTTAATGCCTTCTTTGTTACAAAATTTTTTAAAATCATTGGATGTATATTTATCTCCACGATCAGATCTTAAGGTTTTAATTTTGAAACTTGTTTGTTTTCCTACAAATTTTTTGTATAAGGTGAATTTTTCAAATGCTTCAAATTTGTATTTCATCAAATAGACTTAGCAATATCTTCTTAGATCATCAATAAATGTGATGAAGTAAGTACATCCTGAATGTGTGCCTACTTGCATAGGTCCACAAATGTCAGAGTGTATAAATTCTAACAATTGGATAGCTCTTTGTGCACATTGTGTAGAAAAATTTTCTTTATGTTCTTTACCTTCTATGCAAGGTTGGCATAAGGTATTTTTTCTTTCATCAAAGGAATCAATCTCCTTTGTCATGGTTTGTATTTATTTGAGTCTTTGAGGATTTATGTGTCCTTGTCTTAGGTGCCACAAATTAGCTTTATTTAATTATATTGTTGCTGGAATAGCAATTTGAGGCTTGTTTGAAAGTATAGATATACCTAATTCATATAAATCAGGGTTTAATTTGCATATTCCAATGGTTTGACCAAATTTATTTATAAGTGTAGTGGTGCCAGCTCTTATGCGAATTTTTCCTCTTGCCTTAACTAATTGTTTGGCAAAGAATAAATTCTTTACAAGTCTAAGTATATGTAATAAATCAGGTATGATCTTTTCATCACCATTTGTAAGTTTGATATTTACATCACCATGTCCTTCAATTATACATGATGTAGTATCATCTCCTAAGTAGACAATTTGTTTGTCTTCACTTTTGATGTATTTAACAAATCCTTCTAATTCATGACACATATGTTGAGTTGCTCCCGAGTCCACATACCACATTAAATTTGGGTTTTCTTTAACTGTAAGTGTTGCCACATATAGTTTATTTGTTTTGGTAGCAACATTTGTTTCTTTTTTGTTATTACAATTTTTACTTGCTATTCTTGTTCTACAATCTTTAATCAAGTGACCTGTTTTCTTGCAGAAAAAGCATTTCTTAATAGCAAAATTACTCTTTTCATGTGGTTTGGAGATACTAGTCTCTCTTTGTGAATTCCTCCTGAAATTCTTATTAAAATAAGATTTCTTATTATTATTCTGAAATTTCTTACCTACATACAAGGCTGAATTATTATCAAATGTTAAATTCATGTTTCTCATGAGTGTTTCTTCTTGGATCAAATCTGTTATCAAGGATGTTAATGTAATCCCAGGCTACCTTCTTAAGGAGCTAATGAAGGATCTATAACTTAGAGGCAAACTTCTCATTAAAGTGAGAATTGCTTCATCATTTGGAACTTCTGATCCTGCTGCCAACAATTGTTCCATATGTGCTCTGAAGGTATGTATGTGTTTAATAACACTATCACCTTCTTTCATTTTTAAGGTGTATAATTTGTCTTTTAAATACATCTTAGTTATTGCATCATGTGATTCAAATATTTTTACTAATTCTTGCCATGCTGAATTTGCTCATATATAAGATTGTATATGTGAAACAATATTGTTTCCTATGCAATTATTAATTATGGTTAAAGACAAGGTATCCTTGTCTACCCATGCGCTTATACTCCCTACTCCTATGGTAGGTAAAGCTGGGATTCCGGCAGCAATTTCAGCTTCCGTTGGTTCCACTGGTAAGAGTTCTTCACCACTTACTATGGGCCATAACTTTTCAGTCTTAAAAACTAATATTAGTCTATGTTTCCATATGTTAAAATATGAACCATTGAATTTTGGAACATGATTAATGTCCACTTTTTGTGTCATCTTCAATATTCTTAATTTGAAATTGAATTATAATTATTTATAAATTTGTTTTTGATCAATTCAATTTTATCTTTGCTTATAGTTTGTATGTTGCCATTTTTAGGTCTCGAATTGCTTTTCATGGTTTGATGAACTTCTAGTTCTTCATCAACCTTTGCTATTATAATGAATTGTATTGATATTATTTTCATTATAAACTATTTTTGTAATTTCAACAATTATTTTCTTAATAAAGCATTCACCAAAGCTTATTCTAAGGATCGAATATTTCTATAGCTCTGATACCATGTTGAAAACGTCATTATTATTATTATTAATATGATCAATTGACACACAATATATATATTGTGTGTACCACAGTGACACCAAGAGTCACAACTCTTGGTGTAAGGTCAATATAGAGTAGATAGTATTCTACACATGAGACTAGTGTATTATACAGTATAATTCTCCCAATAGTTGGACAGTCTGGAATTTGCTGGGATTGCCAATGTTCGGAATCAGAGGTGGGAACTGGTCGAGTAGTTGAGGTTGTAGAGGATCTGACAATGATAACTATGATAAAATAACTTCTCCACGGGCTTCTGAACTGTTTACTCATGAAAGCTGGATGAGTTAACGAGATTAAAATCAGATTCAACAGCCGTTTTGAGATTTTTGTTAACGCTGAATGACGAAAAAACTGACTGTGAGTACCAAGGAGAATTACAACGTCTCTGAAGGATATGATGGGTATGAATGTGCAATTATTCTTGTTCTCCTCCAAAGGAAGATGAATTTGAAGCTGCTGTGAAAAAATGCTGGGCACTTAGGTCACTGTCTCAGAAAAAGTCTAAAGGAGGACGTTCACGTATTCAGAAAGGAGCATGCAGTTCAATTGAGTACAAGGATGCCAAGGTCCTGAAACTGGACAAGTAAACCTGGCTGCGAGATGTACCAAGATGTAAACAATCAGATAATAGCTGCAAAAAGCAATAAAGCATAATGCTTTTATTGGCAGTCACAAAAATAATAGCAATAACTTTCTGCTGCACATAGCTAACTCTGTAGTTGCCGCTACAATCTCGTAGCTAGGAGGTTGGTTGAAGCGGGAACAATATACACAAAAACGTTCGCACTCCGTAATAATGTAATGTACAAATCTACCACAGTAAAATGAGAAAACAAATGGAACCGAAACACACAATTTCCGTGACAATGGTGGACTCTACGTCTGTCTACCAATAACAGATCTGTCGAGGGCCGTCGAAGTCCGAAGACATTATCTGCACTCATTGCAGTCATAAAGAATCCATGACCCACTGAAACCTGTAATCCTCTAAGTATAGAATCGGGGAGTGCAGGTTAAAAACAGGCACAAATCCCCTTTAGCATGAGAACTCTGTGGGTGTGTGCGCATGTGCGGGAGGAGAAGGGACCAAAGGCAAGCACCCACTTCAGCTCCAAATGAAGAGGCAATAGCCCCAAGGATTGCTTACCACCACCCCGTGTTGATGGCTAACTTTGATAATATCCTCCGCTTGTTAGAGGAACAGTTGACAATCCCACGCTGATACATCCATCGGCACAGTCATGTCAAGCCCCCATGGCTCCTTGATACATGAAAGCAAGGGTCGCGTAAGACTGCTTCTTCTGCAAAGATCCTGGGGTCTTCCGCATAGATCCAGAAGTCTGTAAAACCGAGAAGCACAAACAGAATATCAGCACAGAGGATCCCAATACTGACCAAAATAATGTAGCTTCATTCTTTAGCTCCCTAAAATTCTATTGAAAAATAGGCTGTGTACCTTTTGTATTTGCTCTTCGACTGCGTCAGTCTTATTGCTATCACTAGAAGCCTTGCTAGAGTCTCCAGTTAGGGCATCTCGCGTAGTCTTCTCCAACATGAGCTGCCTCATGATAGCGCCCTCTTCGAGCTCTGGGTTATTATGCCAGTAGCTACCTAGGAAAGTCTTTGCGCCATCAAGGCTGGGAAAGTATGGTGGCTCGAAGTATATTTGAGATAATGCATCTGCGGCAGAGATTTCTGCTTGTGCAGTTGCCTTGTACTCTCCGCTGCCCATGACAGCGATCACTAGCTGCTGATATGAGAAGTAAAACTGCCGAACTGCTGCCTCAACCGCTTGAAAGGCTTGGAGTAAATGTATTGTAGACGAGTGGTAGGCCAAGGGTCGCCGGAATGGCGGAGTTATGTGAGTTTGCATCCCGTGCGAATGGAGCAAATCCATCACTGCCTCCAGGAGCCTTGGACCGCCTTTGGGATCAGCCTCTACTCCCACCACCTTGGGGACCAGATGCCGAAGGTCTTTGCAGCCCTTACTGATTTGTCGTAGCTTTGTGGATCGCAAACAGTATGCACCTGAAGAGTTCACAACTCATCAGCACTAAAAATTGCGACTCATTGACGCAAGGAAGCTCAGTTTGAAAGGATCATACACATTGAGAACATGAGGGTTATCTCACCTCCGCCAATATGTTCTGTGCTGACAGCTGTCTCATCCTGGGAAATTGCAAGCTCCTCCTTCAAGCGCATGAAATCGTCCGGGTCCATGATTTGGAGTAAATCCATTGTGGAAATGAGAAGCTTCCACACTCGCTCGATGATCCAGCAATTCTTGGCAGCTAATCCAATATCTCCTGCTTTGACCATCCTCTCAACATTCTGCAGCAGGCCGGAAGCTACTTCCAACCATGCCTCCATGATTTGATGTACAGTCGAAAGCGTGTGATCTTCAGGATGCCCAGACATGACTTGTCTGCACGCATAAACCTGCAATAGAAACTCTCCGTAAGATTCCTTCGTGAAAGTACTCAACGCCATTAAGAAAAGATCTATGAAATGATTGTGGCATGGAAACTAATGCTGCGAATGCAATGCATACGACACGAATTAAGTGAAATCGATCACGGCGTTTTCCGATTGGGGTAGTTCACTATACTAAAGCTCGTCTAAAATGCCTGCACTACTGAGAAAAATGAGCAGAATAAGATTGTGAAATAGAATGTCCCGAACCTTGTGAAAACCAAAAATTTATAATCCAGAGCAGAGGTAAATCAAAGAGGCAAAGTCCTACCGTTGGCGACTGATTGACACAAAGAAACTCCATTAAATTTCAAATCTGTAAGTGCAGACCTAATTGAGAGGTTCTGTCCAAATCCTAACAACAAGCGAGGATTAAAAAGTTCTGCAGAAGTAGTATACCTCAAGAGGGGTGCAAATTTTGTCATACTCTAAAACCGGCTTGGCAGCGAGATTAGGCTCCCCAAGGCCAAGAGTGAATGGTGCCCGCGCCATTTGACCCTCAATGGCAAAATGTAACCGAAAGCTTACGCTTTGCGCAGTCCTCCAAGCAGCAAGGCGGGGCAACAAGCTTTCTTTGCTGAGCCTGCTCACGATGGGCTTCGAACCAGACTTGTGCCACACTACCGACTCCGTTCCCACGGAACTACAACAATTAGAGAGATTGGACGTGGGCGCCCCCTCATCTCCCTCTACGATGCAAGCTAGAACTTCCAGCTGCAAGTTTGCAAGCGATTCCAGTCTACGAAGCCACTCGTCGCGATCTATGTAGGGCCGAGTGTCGCACAGAACGCCTGATATCACGCGGAAGACCAGCTCTAAACTGTGTAAAGCAGGTCTTACTACGCTTTCGTTTTCCCAAGACGGAAAATCTCTTGCCCGCCATAGCCGCCTCAGCTCAGGGAGGTGCAGGTAAAGCTCATACGCTTCAACCTGCTGAGGAGTCGGTTGCACAAGAGTTTCGATATCATATTTCAAGAGTAATGCCGGTACGGGCGTTCCGGGGAACACAGGGCAGGGCACCGGGCAGCGCCCTTTAGATCCCAATTCATCTGTGTCCATGCGTGGGGGAACCTCCATGGTTACAGTCCTGAAGGTACCCGAGCGGCGGTTTCAAGACAGGTCACGGACCGAAACACCGAAGCTACAACCAGGAAGTTTAATGACACCCTACACGTGCACGATCCCCACAATGCAAACATCTCCTGTTCAGATATCCACGAAGTTGTCTTCTACGGGCGAGGCAACAGTCCAGCACCAAAAACACCCCCAGCCCCCAGAGAGTTTCAGCTCCACTGGCGTCGGCAGCTTTCGAGAGCCACTGTCGCAGGTCCTCCCAACGAGCTCCACACAAACAAAACGCTCACAAACCCACCCTCTGGATCGACCCAAAATGTTCAAAGATTCAAACCATGCTTCGACGTCTGATACCGTAACCTGGCCCAGAACCTTTAAAGCTCTGACAAAACCAGGATCCTACTACGACACAGGTTTGTGAGCGCCGAAGCAGAGACTGGCTCTCCAGGTTCACCAGCTCCGAACGATCCAATTGGGGCTGTTCAAGGACACGCTCGTCTGAAACACGGCGCAACTCGAGATCGCGGTGCAAGGCGACGCATCGGACGGACGTCCGGAGTCTGAGTTGTCGCGCCGAACATGTGTCTAGAGCTAGTAGCGGGGTCAGTACCCCAGCAGAGCACTAAATGATCACCGGAAAGAGGTTCTCACACTATCGATCAACCAATCAAACAAACAAAGAAACAAACGTATGCTAGAGCTGCCATCGACGCAGTGCGGATGCTGGTGGCTACCGATCGATAATTGGTCAACCACGACTGATGCAGTTCGACACATGAGGCTCCGCTCCGAGGAGAGCACTCAATGTTTTGAAATTCCCAGTCTCTTACTTTATTTATAAACATATCAATATCATGATAAAAAAATAATAATAGAACTACTTATGTGGAGGATGGATTTCACCTCACTGAAAGAGAAAAGAATGGGATATGAAACAAGTCTTCTCATTGGCCATGATCTTGTTTTTCGTTTCAGTAGTAATGATTTTAACTGGAAATTTGTATGAAGTTCAGGAAAAGTATCCTTTTTCAACGTGAGATTGAAGTGGAGTGTACATGAACTGTTTTTGTGGTTGATAACAGATGCATTTGCTTGTTCATTAAATGTGATTGTAGTGTACCTAACCATTGAGTTTTGTGCAGCCTTTGTCGTTCGCAGAAGTTGTTAATAATGATAAGTTGTAATAAATTTGTTTCATTGAGTAATGTAAGAAAAACAAAAAACAAAACAAAACCAACAACAAGAGGTTCACCTCTGGAATAACACATTTTTTGAAATATGACTTTATGATTATTATTATTATTATTATTATTATGTTTTTTATCTTGTGTTTTTTAAACGTGCTTATTTATATTACAATTTCAAACAGCCAATTTTATTTTTAAAATATATAATACACTACTTTTAAAGTAGTGTATTATGTTTTCTAATTGAGTTTTTGAAGTAATCTCCAGAATCTAAGAATTCTTTAAATGAAAAAGGTTATACTTTTATTGACACATGATCATCAGCAGTTCTTGTAACTATAATAATGAAAAACATATAATAATAATAATAATAATAATAATTTGTCATTTAATTACATGCAAAAACTGTTGGACATTAATACATTGATCAGTAGCAGCTAAATATCAAACTTGGAAGATAGTTTGGAGCTTTGAGCAGTAACCAAATCTCAAGTTTATCATTGTTTGATAGTTGATTTATTACTGTAATCTTCAAGTCTCGAGCAGCTCTTCCAAAACTAGATTCAAATTTTTACATCAACCTTATGCTTTTGCTTCTTCAGTCACATGCACAGAATTTAAATCTGTTTTTCTTTATTTTTTTTTTAGACTTTTGCAATAGCAGCTTTCATCTGAAAAAGATATAAAATAGTTTATACCTATTTCTCTGGATGAAATGATGCATCAGCATTGACTTGTAGAGGAGAACAAAAATCAAAAACAGCATATTGTTTCACTAAAACAGTGTAGTTGGTCAGTGAATAAAAAAAATATTATATATACCATTTATAATTGATATTTTTAATTGGATAATAATATATGAATTATTAAATTTACCATGAATACTGTACTAGCCAACTTGATCATTCACTTTTTATGATTGTACTAAATAGTGTCTGAAATACAAATTCCTCCAATGAATCATAGGAAGAAAATAAATAAATAAATAAATAAATAACAGAATGTAAAAAATTAAAAAATAAGAAATGGGTATAACAAGAACCCAACTACACAACTTATTCATGCAATATACGACTGCAGTATGAGTTCTAAACCTTAGGCATTAAACACTGAAACTAAAACCACGAGCACTAAACCCTGAAAACCCTAAACCATCTGCTTGAAGGTGAGAAATGGATGAATGAATGGTTTGGATGGATGGGTATGTGGATAGGTGAATGGATGGATTAGTATATGCTACAAAAGAATGAAGTGAGAGGGAGTAAGGCAACATTAGAGCACAAGTGGAAATCATAAAATTGTATGAATTTACTAGTGTGCAAGAGTGTGTGTATTGATTTTTAAAATAAAATAAAATTACAAAAAAAAAAACTTATTAAAAAAAAAATTGTGTTTTTGGGACTTCCAAAAATCATGTCTCAATGATCATGATGTGCCACCATCCTACCATTTTTTTTTTTTAACTATTTTTAAAATCTCATCCCAATGAAGTGGATTTATGTACAAAGGGCCTATTCAAGAGCTACATGAGCAACTCTTCTTCAACAAGTTAGCATGTCTTGAGATTACACAACATGTTTGGTGTTTTCTTTTACCACTTTCTTCTTGTGGGTTGTCGTTATTGTTATTATTTGTAATAGTGTTACTAATTTATTGAAAAATACCAGCCCATATAAATCACTGGAAGCTGTTGAGTTTGGGCTCCCCCTCTCTCATCTTCTAACTCCAATTTTGTCTGTAGATTTAGGTTTTAAGTTTGTATCCATTTGTTCGTCAACATGGTCCAATGCCCAGCCTCACAATAGCCTATGTATACACTTCTTTTTTCTCCTCAGATGAGTACATGTTTGCCTATGCATCAAACAATGAATTCCATTATCTTTGGTTTCAAGAGACAAAGAAACAAAATATTAAATTTAGATCGTAATTCTGGTGTTTTATCCTTTGGTTTATATGATATTGTTTAATGGGTCTTATGATATTTGTGACGATATGCTGTATCAAACTCATTACTGTTCACTGTTGTATCAAAGATTATAAAACACACTTTACAACGATAAGAATCATAAACAAATCAAAAGAAACTATTGTCATTTCGATTCTCTGTTCTTTACAAAGACAAATATAAAGTTGGTTGATCACAGAATTTGTAAGAAAAGCAAAGATTTTGATAAGCACCGAGTTTTATGAGTATAAACCCAAACTAGGAAGTGGCGGAAGATGGCATATAAAATTTAAACATACTAGCCAGAATATTATGTTACTCGTTACCAAGTAAACAACCCAATACATTGTTAAAATTTAAACCTATCAATATTTACTTTCTCTTCACCTGTACATTATAAATTATTCTGCACACTTCGTGTGCAGTTCTGTGATCAAGGTTCAGCATCGGACACACAATCTACACTCGTGGCTTGCCGGTAACGAGGAAATTCAACCGAGTAATCAGGTAAATCCAGTATTTCCCCTGCATCGAAAACTGCAAACTCAGCACTCGACCCAGAAATCGTCGAGAGACCAGTCTGCGAACCACGCGCCGGTGCCTGCCTTACACCGATGCAGAACGCCACATTCAAAGACTAGTTGCAGCATCACCACGGCAGCGGACTGGCCATAAATAACCATATCCTAATCAACAGCAAATCGACGAGCATTTCAATGCCGCGGCTGCGACGGTTAGAATCGACGCCGCGTTGGCCGCAAATCGAAACTAAAGTGACCAGTCGATGCGCAGCGGCGGTTGCATCGAGCGGTGCTGGATGATGCCAGGGGTGTTGCTTCGACGCTGAACGTGCGATGGGGGAGTGAGGTCGCCCCTGATGTCGGGATGGGGTCGATGTGGGGGAGCGAGCTGGGGTTCAGAACCACGCGGCGGCGATCATGACCCAATTGGAGCGGGACGAATCCTAGTTCAGATGCAACAGTGAATCTCGAAGGCGCCGTCGCCGTTGCTGCTGGTCCTGCTAGTGCTGCGGGTGCTGGTGTAAGCAATATGGGTCGAAGCCCATGACTTGCTGATGTGGAGGCGGATTATTATAGTCCACTAAAGCAGAATTTAACAACCCGACACTGGAGGGGTTGCGCTGCTCTGCTGCTTCCAGCAGCGCACCGGCGCCAGTGCATGTGCATGTTCATCGATCATGTCGCTCCCGCAGCGGACCCAAGTGGGACGGAGGGGGCCTCGAGGGATCATTGCGTTGCAGCTGCTTGACCGACTGATTCTTGCAACAACAACCCCACTTCCAAGGTCTGCTCATCCGGATCCATCATGTGTTGGATTGTTTTTATTGTTGGTTATTATGTTATTACTTTATTGCTTTCGATACAAGCTAGAGAGAGTTTCTTATCTTGCTTTCTTTTTTCTTTTCTTCTTCGTTTTTTTGAACACATGAGGAGTCGTTACTTCTGTGCTAGCTTTCGTCAGGCAGTGTTAGAGATTTCATAAACGTCCGGGGATTTTCACCATCAACCTCTTGGTACCAACCTGCCAATTTCCTAAAGAATATATATATATATATATATATATATATATATATATAATTTCATTTGGAAATTTATGGTAAATGCTTAAGATGATTGTTTTGCGTACACAAGAATTTAAAGTTGGGGGTTTTATTTCATGCACCTATTTTGCATCATGTTTTTGGCGTGTAAGACTTCAAAAGACTACTAATGCAACATTAAAAATAAAGAATGAGTATATCAATTTTCTCACAAATGTATTCAAATTCAAATGGAGATTTCATTTCAAGTTGCAATTTTTCTAAGGTAGATTGCTGCCTTTAAAATTCACTTTAATAGTGTTGTCTTATTTTTATTTATGTATAGAGCAATCTCATTTCATAATTAGTTGTAGTTTTGTAACCAACAACACAACTGAGCTTTTTTGAAGAATACATTCAAGATTCAATGCTCTCTTATCTGCTCTGATTTGACTATGGTGTACAAGTTTGTTTTGATAGTCAAATAATTTCATGACTTCCATGCACATCTTTATAGTTGATTGAAATGACAAACTTTGAATTCTCAACTCCATGGGATCTCTATGTGCTTGTGTTGCATTAATGGTTCTTTAGATTATTTTTATTTTTATTTTCAAACAAGATAGAAAAAATAATGTTTTAATATTTTTTATTTTATGTTTTTTTCTAAAAAAACGATTTGTAGCGCACAGAGTACTACAAATACACACAAACCACATAATATATATATATATATATATATATATATATATTCAAATACACTCTTTTCAAAAAATAAAAAAATAGTGTGATTTTAATCTAAAACCAAAATATCATAATTGGTTTATTCAACGGCTATCATTATCATTGTTTTGAAGATTTATAATAATAAAAAAGTCTCTATTCATTTGGAATTTTTTCTTGATAAAAACTTGAAGCAAAGAATATTTCGAAAATAACCTAAAATAATAATAATATTGATGAATGATAATTCCAAATACCAAATTAAAATTTTTAACTTGACAGACTAGAAGTTGTTGGAATGAGATGTGGCATATATCAAAATCCTCAAACAACTCTTGAATTAGGACTTTTTGTGCATGAGGTGGTTAAATT